TTGATTGTTTATGTTAATAGTTTATCTTAAACTATACGCTATGATAGATAGTACTTGCTTCCAAAATATTTATTTGTTCTTATAACAACACTGTTGACATTATAACTTAATACATTAAAATAGTATTATCATAAATTAATATAACATATATGAAATTAATATTAATATGGTAATTCATTTTTATACATACTTTAATATCTTAGTAAAAACATTTTAGTATAACATATAGAAACATTGTACCATACAAAATTGTCTTGAAGTTATAAACTGCAAGACACAAATAAACAAGGAAAAGCAATTGGAGTAAAACTCTATAAAACCATAGTTTTTAATATATAAACATAAAAATTGACATGTAACCAATATTAAATTCTATGGATACGAAATTTATATATGTATTGTTTGTTGATGAGTCTAGTAAGTTTCTTATCTCATCTATAAAATAATATAACAACTTTTTTGAATATAATAATTGTAATAACTGTGACTAATAGCTATAATAAAAGACTATCACCATTCAGAAAATAATATCAAAGATCAAAATATATCACAAGAAAAAGTTATTTACAACGATAGATTGAGCGTACGGGAATATGCTTTAACCACAGCGTGAGTCTACCGAATGTCAAAACAAGCACGCTATGTGAGAGGTTATGTAAATGTTCGTGAATTAAGATTACATACATAAAAATATTTCACTGAAATGTACATGTTATATTATTTACCTTCAAAGGATCCAAAAAGTGATCTAATGGTAAACATTGGGCACAGGATGTGACTCAAGTCAATTTCCTTGTCATAACCTCACACCGATTGATAAATAATACACAAATTTACAGGCAGTAAGAATACTTGTCAACAAGTCCTGATCTTCAACAAAAATTATTTGGCGTCAAATAAATAATATTTACAAGTCGGAAACGTCATTTTAGGACACAATGTAACCTATTATACAAACACCACACACAAGCATAGACTGGAAAACTGATCACATTTCTCTCTGGCCATATATTCAATTCACATTTCGTGAACTCTGCCAACATTGGACAGTCTAAAGGCGAGTTTCTTTGTATGTAGGGGGGATAAAATAGTGAATTCATAGATAAAAAAGGAAAATAATATTGTAAAATTCGTATAATTTTTTAAAAGATTAATTTTGGGAAAATTTAATTCTACGTAACACAATTTATTGGATTTATTTTATTGCAAAGTCAAATTTTCGGTTTTGAAATATGTATTGTTTCTATATTATATTTATGTTACATATTGTGAAAATAATATTAATATTATAATAGAAAGTATTTTAGTGCACACCATATGTATATGTTTATGTACGTAGCCTAACATACATGCATATGTATGTATATATGTGTACCCGTCTTGCTTGCTGTTGGCCATTAGTTTACAACACAAGACACCGTTCGTCAGCTACATTCTACATCGTTCATGTTTAAAATTATAATTGCAATTGAAGACTCCGTTCAAGACGTACCTAAGCATTTTGTATCGAAGATCGATTGATGACAGGTGGAACGCAATGTAGCTTTGGTAATTGTACGAATGATAAATTAATTTGTAAAATATTTTGAAGTTGTTAGAGAAATGTATAAGGTTAAAGTTGATTCAAGAAAGCAAATTTTGCTTCTAATT